CCCACGGTAACTTTGAAGAGCGTCATTGGTGACATATTCTTCCAATCGGTGAGAGGCCAGGCCACTGCGTGCTCGGAGCTGTCGTCGGCTTTTAGTCTGGTCTTTCAGGACCTCCAGGCGAGCGGCCTTCCGACTGCATGGAACAATTTGGGCCCGCTAGCTTCGACGGCTCCCCTGGGGAAACAGTTAGTTGCTAGCTGTAGTTTGCCTGTCGCGGCCAGGTCGCCGGCCCATCGCGACCATCGAGGGGGCGCGACGAATGGGGCGAGGCGCCCTGCGTCGACCCACCAGGCTCGATTTCTTGACGCACAGGCCAAGGTGGCCAAAGTGCTCAGCCTCCGTGGGGCAGGGGCCCCGACTGGTGGAATCTTTCGGGCTGGCACGGCCGCCGAGGCCCTCTGGGGGGCCAACATTCAGGGCCTCCCCGATGGAAGGTTGAAAAGTTTACGCGCGGCGGCTGTTCGAGCCGACGGCAGGCAGCCCAAGGGGTGTTCGCTCGGATTGGCGCCCATGTGCACTCGGGGGTTTGGCCTCGAGATCCCTCGGTGCAGGTTTTTGCCGGTGCCGTCAAAATGTACGTTCAGATCTTGCAGGACGGACGCTTGTCGGATAGTGTGATGACAGTTTTGTTTTCCAGGGCCCAGGAGCGGGCACAGCGGCCCAGACCCTGGACCTTGGTAAGGGATCCTGTGTCGGCGCTGGTTTTGACGGGCCTGGGGATCGGGCTTTCTTTTTCGGGACCCTACTCTTCGACGGAGTCCTCGGGACAGGCCCGGGGCCTCAGGCAGGTCTCACCCGCCTCTGCGGCTAGGAGGGCACGTCTCTCAGCGCGCAGGTTTTCGGATGTGGCAGCCCAAGGCAAGATCGGACCAGGCAAGGCCTGGCGAGGCGAGTTGTTCTGGAGGCCACTTAATAAACTGCTGCACCGAAGGATCGTGGAAGACGAGGAGGTTGTTGGGACGGGCGGGGCTTGGGGGTTTCGTGAGCAGCGGACTCTCAGGGGGCTCCTTATGCGCTCTCACTGGTGTCAGTATAGGCTGAGCCAACATGATCCCGACCTAGCGTCGGAGTGCCAAGTTGGCGGCGAGCGAGGCACTCTGTTTCACCGACGCTTCTCCTGTCAGTCGCGCCAGCCGTGGCGCCGTGATAATCTGCCCAGTTGCGTTCAACGAGCAGCTGAGCGGGTCTCGATGTGCAGCGTAGAGCTGCAAGAAAGGTTTTCCCGTGGAGTTGTTCTTGGCCCGTGTCAGCATCTGTCCAGGAGACCTTCGGATGAAACCACGGAGCTTCGCGTTGACGGAGGCCTAGCGGGCTCAGTGATGTTTTCCCATGGGCGCGTTTTCTGTGACGGTTCAGGCTTGCATGGGTTGTCCCCATACCATGCGTGTTGCTGGATGGGGCGTCACCATCTTCGATGAGCCGCGCAGGTGCTTAGCCGAGTGGCACGGTTCTGCGCCCCCAGCCACCTTGCCTGATCAGGTGGCGCGGGACGGCGACGACTACGCAGCGCTTATTGTTCCGAAGCTGTGCGCTGGCGGCTTTACCTTCTATTCGGTTTGTAAAAGAACTTTAGAGTGCTGCCAAAACAGGTTCCGCGCGGTCTCCCCTTCGAACCCCAGGGCCCACCTGTGGAGGCAGCACTGGGAGTCGAGAGGCCTGGGATGGGCCAGTTTTCAGAAAGCTCCTGCCCACGCTTCGGCAAAGGATGTCAGAGAAGGACGTTTATCAAGTTTGAGCGCACCGGTAACCACGGCACGTCACGTCACGCTCTGGTGCAGCATGACCAACAAGAGCTCCTGTTGGTCGAGGGTTTCTTGGCCCTTTCTCGAGAGCTAGCTGTTGGAGTATATAACAAGGGCCGAAGTGCACTGTAGTGAGCAGGGTGTGTTCGACAGCGTTGGAGCGCAGGGCCTTTCGTTGGTTTCCCTGGATTTCCCTCAGGACAACGATGCTCAGATGGCGCAGGCTCGAGCCCGAGATGAGGAGGTGGCTTCGTTGGCCCCCCTTCCCAGCGAGGCCCCCGTGGCCCCTGACCTTGCTGCTACCGCCTCGCTTGAGAGGTTCTTCCAGAGGGCGCCCGAAGGGACACAGCCGTGGAGGGCGGTGGGCCACTGCATCTTACAGTTTCCTAGGGAAGAAGAGGGCCACCCTCCCCTCCTCGTCTGCTCCACCTGTGGCAACTACACGACGGTTGCAACAGGCCCTCGGGACTTGCAGGATCTTTGGCCTGGCTCGGCCCATTCCCGAATCGGGCCTGGCAAGAAAAAATCGTCGAGTTGTTGTTTTAACCCAAGCACCCTAACAGGGCGAGAAGGCTGGGACTCGCGAGAGATCCTGGGGCCCAGGCGTTTGAGTTTGTCGGTTCTCGGTTCCTGGTCGGCGGTTCGGGGCCCCAGCCGAAGGCCAGGGCTTTGAGAGCCCAACAGATTTCAGGTGCTGCCATTCTCTGTCTCTCGGACTGCCTCTTGGCTGTTGGGCTGAATGAGGTGGGATCTCGAGAGCTTGACAAAGAGTTGCGTGTCCGAGACTCTGCACCAGAGCTCAACGACGACGAGCTTTCCTGAGGGGGCTTTGTCGCTGGCCCTCACCTGGGCTGGCATCCCCAGGGGAGGTGACGAAAAGGTCCTCTCCGAAGGGCCCCCTCAGGATTTGGGGACCCGTCGGATTTGTTTGTGTTCCCTCTCTCTCTCTCCCTCTCTCCCCTCAGTGGCGTGCGATCCTCCTCCTCCTCCTCCTCCTCCTCCTCCTCCTCCTCCTCCTCCTCCTCCTCCTCCTCCTCCTCCTCCTCCTCCTCCTCCTCCTCCTCCTCCTCCTCCTCCTCCTATACCTCACGAAGGACGAGCGACGAGGGACGAGAGACGAGGCAGGAACGAGGATGGAGGGAGGAGGGAGGGAGGGAGGAGGAGGAAAAAGGAGGACGCAGGACGCAGTAAGCGACGGGCCGTCGCCCGACCCGCTCAATGCGCGGCGTGGGCCAGGGCGGCGGGCGCGGGCTCTTGGCGCAGCGTGCTCGTCAGGTCGAAGTCGACGAGGCCGACGAGCATCAGGAGCGGCAGTAGGCTGAGCGCATTCTAAAGCTCACAGCATCCGCTCCCGACGTGATACGGCAGCAGATACGCAAGCACAATCAAATATTCACGCAGGCCTTCAGACCCAAGCGCCATAGCTCAAGCATTGCTGATTGGAACTATTATGGACTTGACGTACAGATCCATTCCGTCTTGACAGCAAAAGATTGGCTTGTCAGGCTCTGGCGGGGCTGTCGGCTCTAGTTGCATTGGGGGAAAGCCCTTGACGGACGGCTTCCATTGCCTGCCGAACCCGTCAACTTTTTCCATGAATATTTGCCAGTGCCTTTTTGCTGGGACGAACTTGCCCAATTGCCTGACGGAGCCGTTCGTGGTCGCGTGGGCGTGGCCGACTACTTCCACCATCATGCCGCTGCGCATCTCACCGTCTGGCCCCGCGACGTTCAGAAGATCGCCGCCAGCGTCCAGGAGGGTGCCTCCAGCGCCTGCGTCTCGAAGATGCTCTCCACCGCCTAGAACGCTTCCAGCGTCCCGACTATCGCCTCCAGCGTCTCGTCGATCGCCTCCAGCGCCCCGAAGATCGCCGCGGGGAGCCCGTAGATGTCATCCAGCGCCACGTAGATCACCTACAGCTTTCCGACGATCGCCGCCAGCGTCACGTAGGTCTTCTACGGCGTCTCGAAGAACGCCTCCCGTGTCACGCACAACGCCTCCAACGTCCCGAAGATCGTTTCCAGCGTCGTGCAAATCTTCGCAAGCGTTCCAAGGATCGTCACGCAGATCGCCTCCAGCGTCCTGAAGATCTCCGTCAATGATCTTCACATAGGTCTTCTGCAGCGTCCCGAAGATCGTCTCCAGAGTCCCGAAGATCGCCTCCAGCTTCGCAAGTAACTTCGCCAGCGCCCCGAAGGTCGTCACACAGGTCGCCTCCAGAGTCTCGAAAATCGCATCCATTGTATCGTAAGAGGGCTTTCAGGCGCCCCCAAGGCGCTTCCACACCTCCTCTAGCGTTCTTAAGGTTACCTCCAGCGTCCCGAAGATCGCCTCCATCACCCCAAGGATCGCCACCAGCGTTCCGAAGATCGCCTCCAGCGTCCCGTAGGTCGCCTCCGACACCACGTGGATCGCCGCCAGCATCCCGAAGATCGCCGCCAGCGTCTCGGATATTACCTCCAGCTTCCCTCAGATCGTCTTCAGCGTCCTGAAGATTTCTCCAGCGTCCCGAAGCTCGCTGTCAGCGTCACGTAGGTCATATGCGGCGTCCCGAGGATCGCCTCCAGCACCCCGAAGATCGCCTCCAGTGTTACGTAGGACACCTCCAGCGTCACGGGGACCTTCCGCAGCGTCCCGAAGATCGCCACCAGTGTTTCGCAGATCGCCTCCAGCTTCCCGAAGATTGCCTCTAGCGTGCCGAGATCGTCTCCCGCACCCTGTTGGTAGCCTTCAGCGGCTCTTCCCAGCAGACATTGGTGCCAGCTGCTGGTGACGTCTGCAATGTAGCAGTCCGGGATCGCCCGTCTGCCCGTCGCTAGCTTCAGCCGCCGTAATGTACGTCGTCGGCTTTGGGGGGGGGGTCTCCTTGCATCACTGTGATGGGGTACACTCCATGCCAGACAGCACAGTATCCGTGTCACACGATCGTAGCCCAGTTCTCCTCGGTCTTCGCCAACCCCAACCGCTACGCTGCCGAGAGCGCGCGCCGAGGTGCCCCTCGAGTGCCGAGCGGAGGCGCCGAGGGATCTGAGCTGCTGGTGCCAAACGGCTTGAGCCCAGATGTTACTTGAGAGGAGGAAGCATTAAAAACAAACAATGAGGAGGAGGAGGAGAAGGAGGAGGAGGAGGGAGGGAAGGAGAGAGGAGGGAGGAGAAGTCGGACGACGACGACGACGATAACGACAACGATGACGACGACGACGACGACGACGACGACGACGACGACGACGACGACGACGACGACGACGGACCGCCAAGATCGCCGACCCGAGCGTCCCTTCAGAAGACGCCGCGGCCTGGGTCAGGGCGACCGCCGCCTCGAGCCCCGGCTGGGTGGGCATCCGCTTCAACCCGTACCTGTGGCCGGCCAGCGCGGAGGCCCGAGCGAGGATCGAGGAGGAGGATCGAGGATCGAGGGATCGGGGATCGAGGAGGAGGACTGAGGATCGAGTAGGCGGAGGAGGAGGAGGAGGAGGAGGAGGAGGAGGACCGAGGAGGTGGCGCCACGAAGGAGGGTCGGGGAGGAGGAGCAGGACCGAGGAGGAGGAGGAGGAGGAGAAGAAGGAGGAGGATCCAGGTCGGAGGTTCAAGGATAGAGAAGTATTTCACCGTCTTCGGCATCCGGAGGCCCGTTTCGGGCCCTAGGGCCGTTGGAAGCCGATCGGGGCTCGAAAGTTACCCCTGAAGGACCCTGAAAGGGGGATCCGAGAACCGTCTTTGATTGTATTTTGAAGCGCAGGGGGAGGAGGAGGAGGAGGAGGAGGAGGAGGAGGAGGAGGAGGAGGAGGAGGAGGAGGAGGAGGAAGAGGAGGAGGAGGAGGAGGAAGAGGAGGAGGAGGCGGAGGAGGAGGAGGCGGAGGAGGAAGAGAAGGAGAAGAAGGAGGATCGAGGATCAAGGCTCTGGATCAGTTCTGACATTTTTGAGGCCTCCAGTGGAGCCCCTCGTGGCCATGGCTGGATGCAATTCGAAAATCTAGCCAGGATGGACCCTGGCACGGATCCCGAGCGGATGTCCCAGATCTTCAACGTCTTGCAAATATCAAGACATTGTTATTAGCCACATTCGGCATCGGGGCAATGAAAGCACAGCGGGGGATGACAAGCCGACCCTTGGGGATGATCGAGAACTCATCTGAAGAGGAGGACGACCGAGAATCGAGGTGTTTCACGATTTTGCCGTCGTCCAAGGGCGCCGTCGTGGCCACGGCTGGGCGCACTTCGAAAACATTGCCAGGGTAGACTCCAGGAGGGACCCAGTGGCCAGTTTGAACGGATTTCTCAGGCCTGGCGTCACAAACAAGTTGTGCTGGCTGGTTCTTCAAAGTTTTGGGCTTCTGGAGACCGGCTTCAGGACCCAGATTACGGAACAAAGATTTGGGAGGAAAGAAACGTCTCCGGGACAGGGTCTAGACGTCTTGGATCCCATTTCACAAAATTATGATGTTGGTTAATCGAGGTCTGGATGCCTGAGGCATTCAAGGCCTCTTCCCACCCTCCTCATCATCATCATCTTCCTCCTCCTCATCCTTCTCCTCCTCCTCCTCCTCCTCATCCTCATCCTCCTCCTCCTCCTCCTCCTTCTCCTCAATCCCGAGGGGGGTGCTGGCGGTCGCACCCACGGGGGCCGTAAGTGGAGCTCCCTTTGGGGAGCACGATCCGCGTGATGCGCCGAAATAGGCGCGGGGGCGCCATGCGCCTCGCGGCCACGATCCGCGTTAGAGGTGTGACGAAATTGGGTGCGGGGACGCTATACGGTCGTGTCCACTACGAGCGTTGGTGGCGTGCCTGACGGGGCCGCGATCCGCGTGAGGGATGCGGCGAAAGGGGCGCAGGGACGCCACGCGAGCGTGCCCACTTAGACCGTAGGAGCTCGTTGTGGTGGCCACGAGACGTGTGAGGGGAACGCCGATGTGGGCTGGGGGACGCTGCGCGGTCGTGCCCGCTCGCAGCGTAGGTGGAGCGCCCTGCAGAGCCACGAAACGTGTGAGTGGTGTGCCGAAGTGCACAGCCGGGAAGCAGAGGCAAGGAGAGAGGGGGGAGGCTGGCGGGAGACATGCGGTGCAGAGTCGGGCAAGGATCGAGCACGCGGAGGAGGAGGAGGATTTGTTCGGAAGGTGCGCCCTATCGTGGGCACCTGGGTGGTCTCTCGTTTTTCACCCGAGTGTTGAGAAATCCTTATTTGATGGGTACGCATCCCTCTCTCGCATCCTTTTTTGCTGTACTTCTCTTGCGCCTGCGTCCGGCGATCTTGGGCTCGCGAGGTTGGGTTCCCACGGACCGCAGCCGTTTTTTCTTGCATCTCGCACTCTCTGGCTAGCCAGTCCGTGGAGCCTTGTGCTGTATACGGTCTGCCGGCTTCCAGCTCTTCCTGTTCGTCCCCCCTCTTCGTCTTTGTTATTGTCCAATTCGCTTTGCATTGGTGTTATATTTGCGGCCGTTTGGGATTCTACCCAACGTCGCTTTCCGCACCCACGGTTACTTGCTTCGGCTCGCCTCTGGCGATTTGGCCATTGTGATGTTCCTACCTGTTCGGCGGTGTTTTGCGCAATCCTTCCCGGTAGGGCTTCTACGTTCCGTCGTTTCCTGCACTTTGCTGGTGGAGCCTGGGAGGACGGTATTAAGAGGAGGTGGGGGAAGAGCAAGAGGAGGAGAAAGAGGAGGAGGAGGAGGAGGAGGAGGAGGAGGAGGAGGGGGAGGAGGAGGAGGAGGAAGAGGAGGAGGAGGAGGAGAAGGACGAGCTGGAGGAGGAGGAGGATGAGGAGGAGGAAGAGGAGGAGGAGGACGAGGAGGAGGAGGAGCTGGAGGAGGACGGGGAGGGCGAGGAGGCGGGAGGTGAGGAGACGTTGAGAGTTTCGAATTCAACGCGAGGGCACAACAACATAGGAGGGTCGGGAAATAGCTTGGCGAAGGGCCCAACCCTATGCGGCTGAGTGTAGCACAGGGTGCTGCCCTCTCATTGATCGCGGGGACGCCATGCGAATGCACCCACTGGGGTCAGAAGTGGAGTTCCCTATGTATGGGGAACGATGCGCGTGAAGGGCGTGAGGTGGAGCTTCATATGGGCCCTGAATTTCACGCTGGGGCGCTATGTGGATGCACCCATAGGTAGATTGCGAAGGCCTTACGGCCGGTGCCGCCGACCCTGAAAGGGAACGACGACAACGGCGGCGACGACGACGACGCTGACGTGTGTTAGAGTCCTCATGGATGCTTCTTGGGGTCTCTTCGAAGCGCTCTCGGGGGCCTCTGGGAGACAAGTTCAGGGGCCTCTTGGGAGCCTCTTGGCTGCCTCTTGGGAGCCTCTTGGGGGCCTCTCGGGGCTTCCTGGGGACCTCTTGGGGACCTCTTGGGCCTCTTGGGGGCCTATTGGGGGCCTCTTGGTTGCTCCTGGAAGCCTCTCGGGGCCGAGGGCTCGAAATATGGAGAGTTCCTGGAGACTTCTTTGGGCTTCCAGGACCGCGCGGGGGTTCCGGGACCGCGCGGGGACCGCGCGAGGGTTTCGGAATCGCGCGGGGGGGAAGCGTATCTGGGAGGCGACCCCCCCCCCGAGACGCCCCTCTCCGGCGCGGGGATGGGATCAAAGGGAAGGGGCTTTCCTTCGATTCCACTCCTATGTTGTTCAATGTTGCTTTGGACGGCGCGTATGAGGAAAAGGGCCCAGACAAATGGAGCAAGTGAGGACGGAGACAACGATTCCAACGGAAAAGCCCGACTCGAACGGAAAAGTCCCTCACACACGCCGACAGGGTCGGCGGATCTTCAATTTTTGGACACTAATTGTGTAAGGGGTGCGCCAACGCCATGCGAACGCACCAAATGAGGCGGCAGGTCGGTCTCCGTATGGAGGCACGAGGCGTGTGAGGGGTTTGGCGAAATGGTCGCGGGGACACCATGCGGACGCACTCGCCGAGATCGTAGGTGGAGCGCCGTATGGGGGCAGGGAGCATGTGAGGGATGCGCCGAGATTGACACAGGGACGCAGTGCGGACGCACCTAGTGAAACCATAGGTGGAGCTCCTCGTTGATGTATGATCCGCGTGCGGGCGTGTTGAACTTTGCGCGAGGACGTCTTGCAGAAGCACCCATTGAGGCCATAGGTGGAGCTCGCTATGGGGGGTAATGCGTCACTTGTGTGCCGACATGGACATGGCAACAGCGACGAGGGAGGAGGGGGAGGGAACGGGATGGAGAAGAGAAGACGCGCGGCTTTGCGGAGACCCGACAACACAGGAGGATGGGAGTTAACAAAACACCAAGTGTCGATATGTCTACCGTAGCACCCCGCAGATGCGGATAAGAATGAGGGGGCGGTGAGGACGTCAGCAGTTTGCGAGACTCTGGACAAGCCAGCCACAGGCGCCAACGTTTCACAAATTATACCACGAGCCCGCCACAGGCGCTGGTCTTTTCGTTAAACCCATGTGGGTAGGTCGCGGGTGGGTCGCAAATGGGTCGCGGGTGGGTCGCGGGTGTAGAGGGCACAAAATCCACCCCATTATAATCACCCCGACCAGCGAAGCCGCTTAGTAAACGCACACAAGGAATGAATCGAACAGGGCAGGGCTGTTTAGTAGACGCGAAGGGCCGTTTAGTAAACGTCAATTGTCGGGTCCAGGCGGTTTCTCCTCCCTTGAGGGTGGGTCGCGGGGTGCGATGGGTCGCGGATGGGTTGCGGGGTGGGTCGCGGGTGGGTCGCAGGGTGGGTCGCGGGTGGGTCGCGGGGTGGGTCGCGGGTGGGTCGCGGGGTGGGTCGCGGGTGGGTCGCGGGTTGGGTCGCAGGTGGGTCGCGGGGTGAGTCGCGGGGTGGGTCGCGGGGTGGGTCGCGGGTGGGTCGCGGGTGGGACGACAACGACAACAAACAGCAACAGTAACAACAGCAGCAACAACAGCAACAATCATTTTAAGACTGTTCGCTCCTATCTGATCACGTGCTAATCAATACGTATATCCCAAAACCTCGGTACCCGCCCTCGTCGTCTTCGATCGTACCCCCTTGGGGGTATATCTTCCTCACCTGCCACATGTACTTAGCGCAGCCCCTAAAACAAGGGAAGAGAGGACGGGTGGAAGGGGGAGGGAGAATAATGGAGCACGGAGAAATTAGCAGGAGGGGGGCAAGGAGCAGAAAACAAGTGGTAGAACCAGACGGGCAGATCGGGTGGGCAGACCCATAGCGGGCAGGTCGGGAAGGCGGGCCCAGGCGACAAGGTCGAGCAGGCGGGTTGCTGAAGCGTGGGTCCTGCATGAATCGCGGAGAAGTCTCGAGCGATAGCGCGATTCCGAATTGAAAGCGTGAGAAGAGCCAGCGTGGGACACGAAGGGCATAAGATCCGAGGCCACGGGGCAGCGACGGGGCCGCTGAGAGCAGCACCGGGGCCACGAAGGACAGCGAGGGGGCCACAAAGGGCGACAGCGGGGCCACGAAGGGCGTGCATATGGGGCCACGACAGGCGCGAGCGAGCGGGGGCCACGAAGGGCATTCGTATACGGGGCCACAAAGGGCGACAGCGGGGCCACTGAGGGCAGCAATGGGGCCACGAAGGGCAGCGAGGGGGCCACGAAGGGCGACAGGGGGGTTACGAAGGGCATGCGTATGGGGCCACGACGGGCGCGTGCGAGCGGGGGCCACGAAGGGCATATGATGCGGGGCCACTGAGGGCAGCGACGGAGCCACTGAGGGCAGCAACGGGGCCACGGAGGGCACTGAGCGAAGGCGACCGCGGAACCAGTACGGGCAGCGGGGGGCATCGAAGGCGGGCGAAGGGCAGCGAGCGGCGACGGCAGTCATTAACGGGCTGGTCGGGCGGGCAGGTCCCGACGGGCTGGTCGTTGAAGCGTGAGTCCTGCTTGAACCGCCAGGCAATATGTAGCAGGAGCGCGATTCCTGAGTGTCGAGGACCAGCATCTGCATAAATTGTGAGGAAATATCAAGTCAAGCGGTTCGGTGGTAAGTTGTGTGGAAGTCCCAAGCGAGAACGCGATTCTGCAAAAAAATGTGAATAATTAACAAGCGGGAGCCGGCGGTAAATTGCCAGGAAGTCCCAAGCAAGAGCGCGATGTTTCAATACATTGTGAGGAAGTATCAGGCGGGAGCCGTTGTTTTTGTAAACCGGGGGCCAACGACACAGTTTGAGCTTCAAGACTTCCCCTGATAGAAAACAGGGTGCGAGCCCTGGGAAGGGCACTTCAATCGAATAACTATAGTGTGCACCGGGCGGGGGGGATCAACAATAATCATTGTTCATAAATGAGAGTGCAACAACAACAACAACAACAACAACAACAACAACAACAACAACAACACTTACTACTACTACTACTACTACTACTACTACTACTACTACTACTACTACTACTACTACTACTACTGCTACTACTACTACTACTACTACTACTACTACTACTACTACTACTACTACTACTACTACGCAACAAGCTGAATTCTCACCACGAATCCCCTATTCAGCCACGCACCCAGGGACAATGAATGACCGTTCGGCCCCCTCACTCTGGTATATACCCGCACACATACAAAACAGACATACATCACATCCAAAATGAACGGAGACCTCAATTAAAATTATGTGCCAACGCTGGAATCGCGTCATGGCGCCAGAAGTGATCACGTCGAACGGCACGCACAGGAAGCCGCCCAGCCGAAAAGCCAGAGAAATTATATGTGAAGGGAGTCGCCGTGACTGTTCGGCGCCCGTGAGTTTTGTTTTACCGTGCATCCGATTTCGCTCGGCCCCCTACCAGGGCGGCATGGCGGACTCGACGGGCAAGGCCATGTTCGCCGCGGCGGGTGACCTCGGTCGTGGGCTGGGGCCATTCGAAAGTTCTCCGCCCCCGCGCGCGTCGAGTCCTTCCCGATCTCCGCCGCTCTGCGAAATTGTTAGCCTGGTCTTCCACAGGACTCCAATGATACACGCAAGATGTGACAGCGATGATCCTGGTGCAAATAATGCATGTCGTGCAGGCGGTCGCGAACGCTTTTCGGGAGCGCAGAACCAGAGGTGGATGCAGCCGGAAAGGGTTGTTCGATTGAGTCATTGTTTGACAGTGCCAGGGCACGCTTCCCTTGGGATTTCAGTCAGCCGTTAAGCGAGCTCACATATTTCTCTGTGGCGTACTCCGCCCCATACCTCCGAGGCCCTCGCAAGCGCCTGGCGAGCACTGCAAAATCACCAACATCGCAGAAACATAGAGATATAGAATCTACGAAGGCGCAGAGGGTGGGATAAGACCATATTCGTCGCTTCTGGATTTCGAGTTTCTGGCGGTAAGGTTCGATAGCCAGACGTGGGAAGACGTTGGTGCTTGGCCAGAGAAGCTCGTAATGTGTTTGCGTTCAGCAGGTCTGGTCATAGGATTCATGGCGTTCAAAGGCCTCAAGCTCCATGTGGCCGACATCGAGGCGCTCCTCCAGGCTGGCAGACGTGCTCCGCCCCAGCATGCGCGCCCGTGTTCCTTTGTTGCGTGTCTCTCCATGCTAATTTGTCACAGGGAGACTGGCCAGAAGAAGCTGCGCAACAGGCAGAAAGGGACAATCAGGGGGCGGAAAGGGTTCAAGAGAAGCCAGGAGGTAGGAAATGATCAGCATGGAAGATGGACGGATGATGTAAGCAGGAGGCGAGAAGGATGGAAGAAAGAGACGTGCCAGGCACAAATCGTGCACTGGTTCATGGAATCCGACTCACCCTCGGTGCCACCGTTGCAGACATTACGAGGAACAATCCACGAGTTCACTTCAAAAAACGCGACTACATCTCACGCCTTGCGCGGCCGCAGAGGCGACAACCACAGACGCCAAGCGACGTGTGCTTCTGAAGTTGTCGTCATCTTCCCACATCGAAGCATTCCGACCAGATCACTAAACATATGAACATATTCATAAGTATGCGTGCGCACATAATGTTCTATCTAAAGACAAGATTGCCGTGGCGCATATCGCCCCGCACCTTGGTCCGTCAAGTTCGGCCCGCGGGCGGAATGAGAGAGAGGTTAATCTGGAAAAATATCGAACATGTTTTATTGCATTGCCGTTATCATGTGCATGTGTGTGTCCTTTCCTCGTTTGTCATTATATTCCTGGTTCTCGCCTAACCCTGCCAACCCTTATCCGTCCTTCTCGGTTCTTGTTTGCGGAAGTTCCTCCTTGGAAAGCTTCTCAATGGCCTCACGATACGTTTTTTTAAGTTTCTTGCGGGCTGGGGGCTGCTTCCAGGGACTTGGGAGTTCATCAGGCCACAGTGTTGGCAATCGCGGTCTCCCTTAACGACCGCGTCACGATTTGGAGTGCTTCCGGGGGCGGTGTCGGGCCATCTTGAGGTCCTTTTGGGCAGCCTTGGGGGTTTTTTGGATTGTCTGCAGGCTCTATCGAGTCGTTGTGGGACGATTTTCTGGCCTCTTTGGGCGGTCTCGGACGCCCAGGAGACCGAAGACTCGAGCGTCAAAAAAAACACGCAAAGCCATTGGACCACTGTTTTTTGCATCTTAAGGGCATCATGGGGGTGTTGTTTGGTCCGTCTTCGGGCGTCTGGTGGGAGTATGGGGGGCGCTTGGGGCTGTCGCGAGGCCGTTTAGCCAGCCTCCAGACGGCTCTGGCCCGTTTTCGAGGGCCCGCAAGGAGGCCAGGAGGCTCAGAAGGCCGAGGGAGCGCCGTGCATGGAGCGTCCAGGGTGTCCAGGGAGACCGAATCTCGTCAAGGGAGGAGACCTAGGCCTGAGTGCGCTACGCCTGGAGTCCCTGGCTTTTTCGTTAATAACATATATAAGTGTGTGTGTATATATATATACACAAGCATAGTCATATGAATATACATAGATATCTGCATCATGTATACGTGTGTGTTGCATCTGTATATACACACGTATACATCCATGTGTTAAGACATATGCACGTGGTCCCTCTCTCACACACACACACACACACATACACACACACAGAGAGATCTACCTCCTAGTCCTTCTTCGTCGTCTTGCTTGTTCGTGCCTTCTTGTGCCGCTGATGCACACGTATTTGTAGACGCAGCAAGGAGGAGGAGGAGGAGGAGGAGGAAGGAGCGGAGGAGGAGGAGGAGAGGGAAGAGGAGGAGGAGGAAGAGGAAAGAGAGGATAAGGGAAGAATGAAAAGGAGAATGCTTCTTCCACCATCGGAGGAGAGAGGGGGAAGGTGGAGGAGGCCCCGCTTGAGAGGTCCCCAGCGAATTCGCACGACGGAGGCTTCCGCCTGTGAGGCCCCCGCCTGAGAGGTTCAAACAATTGTCGGGGGAGGAGACTCCCGCCTGAGAGGTCCAACAAAAAAAACAACAGGAGGAGGCTTCCGCCACAGAGCCCCCCGCCCCCCTCCCCCAGAAAAGCGTGAGGAATCTCCCGTCGGAGAGGTAAAAAACCAGGTGGAGGCTCCTACCTGAAAGGTCCCAACACAAAAACAAACACGAGGATGCCCCCGCCTGAGAGGTTCCAAAAAAACAACAACAGCATGTCCCTCATCCTTGCAACTGTTCCCACAACAAATGTCAGAGGAGATGGCTGCCCTTGTCAACGCATATAAGGCATCGGTGTCGGCTATCCTCCGTAATGTGGGGGTGCTTGGTTTGTTGTTTTGGGGAGTTGCAAGGATGAGATGCATGGTGTCTGGGTGTCTTTGGTTTATTAGGGGGGACCTCAGGCGGGAGCCTCCTCCTGTTTGAGTTTTCTGGGGTCCTCTCAGGCAGGAGCTTCTTCCCTAGATCCCTAGAGAGTTGTCATGCGACCTCTCAGGCTGGAGCCTCCTCACCAGAGAGTTGTTTTGGGACCTCTCAAGCAAAATCCTCCTGCTGTCTGGGTTTTGGAGGACAGGCGGGAGCCACTCCTCTGAGAGTTCTTCCCGACCTCTCAGACGGGAGCCTCCTCATCAGAGAGTGTTTGGAGGATCTCTCAGGCGGGAGCCTCCCCAAGCGGGAGCACCTTATTCAGCTGTTTCTGGGATCTCTCAAGCGGGAGTTTCCTTTTTGTTTGAGGTTTCGGGGAATCTCTCAATCGCCAGGCTCCTCATTTGAGGTTCGCACGTCTCTGGCGGCAGCCCCCCGTAGCCCCGTTCGACTCGTGAAAGAGGTGATGGTGATCAGAATGACGATCAGAAGAAGGAGGAGGAGGTTAGGAGGAGGAGGAGGAGGAGGAGCTCCCCCGCCACCACCCACAGGCAGGATGAGAACCAGGAGCAGCATAGCTGAGCCCGGGTGTAAAAAATGGAGGCCGGGGTGTTCTGGGAGTCCCCTCGGCCGCACAGGCCGTATCAAAGTAACATTTGAGATGGTCGAAAATCGTCCGACCCGCTGGCGATGTTGGTGCTGCACATCTGTATGTATAGATATTTATATATGTGTATGCATATATATATATATATATATATATATATATATGTGCAACTGTACCGATATACATATACGCACACACATACGCATATTATACATATGCAAGTACAATGATATATTCATACACATACACATACACTAAGAGGCACGCGTGTACATAATAGCACGCCCAACACTGAGGTACAAAGAAGAGCAACCATATATGCATGCGCCCATACAGACAGACATAAACGTAGACGGGTTCGAAGCGCAGTTTGGGAGCCATCTCTTGCGTTGATTGGTTTTGGGAGTTATGCCGACGAGCATCTGCGCGCACGAGAACCGCGACAGGCCTCTACAGATGGCGGCGCGCGCGCCCGCCCTCCCTAAAATCAGGTTTACAAACTGATTCTTGTTGTGCGGCCTTCAAATGGAATTCCTTTGCGCCTGGCTCATGCGGAGGCGGGTGGGAGCCTGGCCGACGAAAAAAACAAAAAAAAAAAAAAAGGCAACTGGGGGCCAAAAACGCTGCGTGTGTAAGTGCAAACTGGTTTTTCAATTGAAAACCCAAAAAAAGACCCCCCCCAAAAAAAAAGCAGAAACAGAACTGGAAGTAAAGAAAGCCTGTGTGATTACAGCGTCTACAGATTTACAGACAGATTTTTATTGTGTGGCCTCCAAAGAAAAACCTGGTGGGGGTCTACAAATTGATTCCTAGCGTGCAGGGTGCACTTAAAAACCCATATGTGCAGACTTACACATTGATCCCCTGAGCAAATATTGCGGCTTGCTGGCGATGTTGGCGCTGCACAGTTGTATGTGTGCATAAATATATAGCTGTACAAATAAACACGCACGCACACACATACGCATCATATACATATACGAGTGCAGCTATATATCCATACACAGACGCATGCACATAAACACCAAGGCGCTCGCGTGTACATAAAAGCACGTCACACACTGGTCTACAATTAAAAAGCTTCCATATATGCATGCGCCCATATAGGCCGACATAAACGTAGACAGATGCGAAGCGCAGCTTCGGAGTCATCACTTGCGTTGATTGGTTCAGGGGGTTATGCCGACGGGCACCTGCGCGCACGAGAAGCGCGACAGGCCTCTACAGATTGCGGCGCGCGCCCGCCCTTCCTAAAATCACGCGGGTACCCTCGCTTTAAACGCACGGGTAGTGCCAGCGAGGCTTATTATGAATAGTGGTAGAAGTTGCCGCTTGGGGCCCCAGGTGGTCAGTGCCGCCAGCAGACGACATGGAGTGTTGCTTGGCGACGAGTTTCAGGACGAAGAAGCGGTGGCGGCTCGGATACATCTCGTTGAAGATCCGCGGGTAGCCACGAAACTATGAGAAGCACGGCTCTGCCACTTGAGCATTAACTCCTCGTGGTTTGTTTTGAAAAAAAAAAAAAAAAAAAAAAAAAAAAAAAAAAAAAAAAAAAAAAAAAGGAAGGGCGGGCGCCCACCCGCCTCTGCGGACGTGGGCGGCCACCACCCCGAGCTGGCGTGCAGACTTACAGGTTGGTTTCTAGTGTAAGGCATTTGAATAAAATTCCGCGTTGTGAAAGGTTACAAGTTGAGTCTTATTGTGCAGGGGACAAGTTAAATCCTGGCATGCGGAATTCCAAGTTGATCCTGTTGCGCGGCCTTCACATAAAATCCCGTTGTGGGGGTCTACAAGCGGCTCTTAGTGTGCACGATACAATGGGAGCCCGATTGTGCAGGTTTACACATTGGTTCCTATTGCGCGGCCTTCAAATGGAGTTCCTTCGCGCCTGGCTCATGCGGAGGCGGGCAGGGGCCTGGCCGCCGAAAAAAACGACAACATATGGAAGAAGAAGAAGAAGAAACCAAATGGGGGGTCACAAACGCTGCGCTTTTTAATGTAGCTGTATACCCAAATGAAAACCCAAAAAGGTAAGAAAGACAACCTGGAAGTAAAGAAAGCCTGTGCTGTTACAGCGTCTGCACATTCACAAACTGATGTCTGTTGTGTGGCCTATTGTGTCAGGGGGCACTTGAAAATCCTTCTGTGCAGACTTTCAAAGTGATCCCCTGAGCCAGACACAACGGGA